ATATTTCTCAGCCATATGTTTTTAATTGATTGAACTGGTCTCTGCGCTCTATGAATCTGATTGAGAATCTGAATTTGAAAATGACGGTGATGATACAGATTTTCATAGCGAAATAATGGAAATGGAATGAATTGTAGCTTGTCGGGGGGTGATATTTTTACGCATATTTCGTTCTAAATTTACCAAGGTAGTGTGTGAAAAACTACTTGACGTACAACAAAATAAGTATAATTTTAGTTAGATCATCCACGTTATTACTTTGCACCAAATTTTAAGCATTTTCATTTTTTTTTTGTAACTTCATGGACCTGGAGAAGGCGTATATTAACGTTCTTATTAATAAGCGTTTGAAAGTACTTAGTAAAAGCAAATAAAGAGCACTTACGTAAGCACTAGTAATAGCTATATAGATAAATCATTCAATTTAAGGCCGGAAAAATGTTTCAGAAGAGCTAAACCCATCAAAGCACTAGAGCAAGGTTGTTGTCTTTTACCAACCCTTTTAGTAATTTTAGAAAAATGAAATAGAAGTTGGAAGATATGGAAATAGGCTGTTCACAAAGGTCGAAATTTCCATTTCCAAGAAGAGTGGGCGAGCAGAACGAACTGATGATTGAGAATTAAAGATGAGATGCTAAATGTGGCATGCGACAATAGTCGTATGTAGAACCCCCATTCATATAAAAACAATGTTTAAGTGAAATTTTAGTGTTTGTTCCTTACGTATGAAATAAACACTTAAAAAAAGCCGAATAACTGTTTTAAATAGCGTAAAATTTTATGCTTTCTAAGAAATGGATACCGTTAACTTGGTCATTGCTACTGAAAACTGAAAGTATCGGCAACAATGTTTATATTTCTGGCATATTTTTTAACCTTTAATGTAACAAAACATAACCTAACGAAAAAAGTTCAGGGAATTTTTATTATTCTGCATCGAATACCAACAAACTCACTAGATTTTTTTTTTTTTTTTGGCCAACCCTACTATGTAAAGATCGTGAACGGATAAAAGATCATTTTCTATATAGTTTTTGAAAATTGAAATAATTGTGTTTTATGTGGCAATCTGCCCTTCTCATTTTTACTAAATGCCTTAAAATTGTTGCTAAATTGTTAGCAATTATTATTTATTATAATAATTTTAAAAATCCAAAAAACATTAAACTACAGGAAAAAGCATTTCTTAGGGGTTATGATGCACAAAAATCCTGATACCCAGAATTTTAGTTACGCTTGCAATGTACAAATAAGAATTTTTGGGGTTAAGGTCAGAATAATGACATCTATAGCATTGTCTTGCTTAGTTCGAGCAACTGAACACAAAGACCTGTATGAAAAAGTTCACCTGACAGATGTGCAATTCGCCGTACCACGGAATTGACCTTTCAACTGTATTTAGACGATTCGTAACACAGATTAAACGTAATGCAAACATGAGTAGATCAATATTGTAACCGAATTGCTTTTTTTAGTAATGAAAAACTAATTGCTTAGATTTGACTTATTTGGCAAGATTTTGGGTGACATCGTTAATTTTTTGGTCGGGGATAAACGAATAAATTTTGATTAACGATTTAGTGTGATTACACTAACCTTAAGACATTTGCAAGATTTCAAAGCATTTCGTTTTGCAGTTTAAAAATTACATTGAAAAGTGTTGAACGGATAGACAGACAGACAAACAGACAGACGAACAGACAGACACTGAAAACACGTAAACAAAAAAGCAAACTTTGTTATCGACTCGACAGCATTCTTAAATCTAGGGAAACATCCTTTGGTAATTTTTTATAATTTTATTTACGGAGTTAATACAACTTAGATTTACGTATTATTGGATTTCGCTAAAAACGATAACGTAATTAATTCCACACCCGGACACCGATGACAAATTAATAATAAATTTTGTGATGGACAGTTTACAGCAATTTCCGATTTAGATTTAATAATGGTTTAATAAGGCATTGTTTCAAAAGGGACGACAAAAGAAATTGTTGAAACAATGATGAGGGTTCGCATTGTGTTGCTATTTTAAGTAAATTTTTGTTTGCAATTTAGAAGTTATATTGATGTTACAGTTTAATGGATAAATTGTCATTTTAAAGGCACCATCAAAGGAAGAGTATCATTGTAAGGATTTAAATCGTAAAAGTAATTATTACAATCAATAACTCGTGATTCGGTCATGGAGTTGGACAAATACTCGTATCATAGGGGGTATTTTTCAGAATATTTTTTTAACAATCTTTTGAAAATACGGAAGAGATCACAACGAAGTAAGTCTTCCCAAATTTCAGGATGATTGATTTCATAATTATTGGGGATAAGGTGAAGATGTTGTTCTGTAATTTCGCAACCATCCGTTGTATAATCTCCGAAGGAACTCAATAGTGTCATGATCAATATATTTGAGATATAAACATAAAGCTTCCAAGATTAATGTAGCAAACAATAATCTACAAATAGAACTTCTCACAATGTTGTGAGTAATACATATCGCAAATGGGCACATCGATTCCGTTTTTCGCTTCACCTATGGCACTTGTCTTTTGTTTTTTCATATTCATAATTAAAATGTATAAATGGACCATGATTGTGAAGAAGTTTACCTATAATTTTGAGACCTTTTTCACAATTTGTAAGTTCTAATAAATTTACCTTAAACGGCAGATGCCGATTGGCTGCGTGCTCCTGACCATCAAGTAAGTACACAATGGTTTGATTGCTTTAAGCTTTGTATGTACAAATTTACGAAGCTTTCAGTTGAATTCAGGGCCGCTTTATAACCTCACATCTGCTGCACTACATACTACACATAATTACCGAACAAAGTTGTAATAAAAGCGCGTGATCAACGCGCCAAGCGCCAACAACAAACCTAGCGTTGCTATTGGTTAAACAACACGTGTCTCGAAGCGTCAATGGATTCAAATATGACCCTTTCACGTTATCATAGCATCTTTTGTTTTTCATTATTATTCGAATATTAATATTATGAAAACTATTTAAGATCCTAATTAAAAAAAAAATTGGTCTAAAGAGTTTAGACAGTACTTCTCTCGCTGTCGGAAACGTGACGACTGCATGCCTATTATGTTTTTTTTCGCATTCGGTTTTGTAGTTCTTGATTAAATCAATAAAATAAATTTGCGCATTCATTAAATTTTTTTGGTCACCCTGTATATCCAAATCCAAAAAATTTGAATGGAATGATATATGACAAGAAGAGACTCATCATATTTTGTACATTCTAGATAGGATTTATTCGGCAAACTTTTGAGCTGACGTCATCAATTTTTTGGAGGGGATAAGCAAATATATTTTGACTAAAAATTTATTATGCTCTTTATAACCTTAAAACATTTGCAAGATCGCAAAGCATTCGGTTCTGTAGTTCCTGATTAAATAAAAAAAAATAAATTCACGCATTCATTGCTTTTTTTGGGTCACCCTGTATATGCATATCCAAAAAATGTGAATGGATTGATAAATCACAACAAGAGACTCATCATATTTTGTAAATTTTAGATAGGATTTATTCAGCAAAATTTTGGAGTGACGTCATCAATTTTTTGGAGGGGATAACTAAATATATTGTGATTAAAATTGTATCATGTTTATCATAACTGTAAACCATCTGCAAGATTTCAAAGCATTCGGTTTTGTAGATTTCAAATTAAATGTCAAAATGTTGTTTCCAAATTTTGATTTTTTTCCAAAAATCTGGACGTTTCCGGTAAAAACTCATTTCGGAGTCATAAACTACATGTGCAAGACTATGTTATTTGACACAATTTAAAACCCAATTACTATGTACGAAGTTATCATTAACAAAACTAAAATTCGCAAAATTAAATTTTCTAATTTATCTAAGGAACTAAATTTGTACAATTTTGTAGGAGTACGTTACGGCTGAGACAAACTCTAACAATAAATAACTTTATTTAAACCATGGAGGTACCTCCATGATTTAGACCAATTTTTCATAACGGCAATTGTCGGTTGTGCAAGTGGGGTGGTGATTCTGATTACAGGGATAAAATACACTTTTATTTTATTTTAACTTTAAGCAGAACTTTTGGCTAAAATGCAGGTTTTACTGAATAAAACTAGTTTTATTCGACTGTCAGTTACATATATCGAAAGCATCGATAGGAAAAGCGATGTAACGGGCACCGCTTATTTGTGATTGTAAAACGGTAACAAACGTAGGCAACCAACAAATCTGAACAACTGACTTCTATGGACACCTGTATTTTTAACTGTTGCCACCCTTTTCAGTTTAGACGTGTTTACATCAAAGTTAAGTTTAATTTCGAGGTTGTTTTCTTGGAACGCCTGTAAATTTCTGACATAAGTACTTCATAATAATATAGGTAATTCCAATTCACTTTAATCACAAATCAATCCTGTCATATTTTTTATAATAGTGGGAATGGTTTCATATAATATTTGTATGACATGTACCTGTCTAACACTTTCGACAAAATTTAGCACAGTGTTCTATTACGAAAACTTACAATTTTTTGTATTTTAAAACCTTCACTTTGCTCAGTTTTATCTAGTTTATGTGTACATATCATTATTGCGTATTTCCAAAAGACCCTTCGAGTGCCACAAGGATCTCCTGTAGCTTCTTTGTTATTCACTCTATTTATGAGTGATTTATTATCTTATTTTTTTGTTCTTTTTTAGTCTGTAATCTGATAGACATCCGTTTGAGAAAAAGGAAAAAATGGACAATTTTGTATTTGCTTTTGATTCGGCTGTGTGGCTTTTTAACATTTTAACGGTTCTTTTGCATCAATTTAACATAAGTACTTGTGATTTTGTTTTAATAAAACAGTATTTTGTGCATGTTTAGAGGAAGATGGATGGATGAAATTCATCGCCGTTTCATGAAATATTTATCATATAGACTTGGTGGCACCTATCCTAATGGTGAAATTAGTCAACCTGAACTATTAATACCGCATTGTGCGCAGTTAGTTCTTAAATTGTTGAGCAATGCAAAGCTGATTTATTTTTTGATAATACAAGTTGTAATTAATATTTTATTAAATTGAACATGATAGTTTTTCTGTACATAAATATGTTTGATTCAATCATCAGATTCCGACTCGCAAAATATTTTCTGCGTAGGTTGAAATCCAAGCTCGATTTCATTTTCTAGTTCTAAGCAACGGCCCCGAAGTCGAGCGTTTTCCTTTTCAAGAAGCACGTATTTTTCGTGGAGCTCTTTATAGTCGTCGATTCCTTCAGCTAAAGTGGACTTTAACTCTTCGATCTCTTTTATATAACTCTCTTTTTCAGTTTTCCAACATTCTTCATCTTCATCATCTGAACTTGGGATTTCAATTACATCAATTTGCCTTTCTTCTAGTTGTTGGGCTGCATCATTTTGTATTTCTATTTCTTCGATCAGTTTTTCATATTTTGTTTTCATAGCCTCTAGTTTCCGTTCATACATCATTCTCACTGCACTTTCAGCTTTTTTAATTCTTATCTTAGCATTTTCTTCTAAGTCGTCTAGAGCTTGTTCATATTTTTCTCTTATCATCTGAATATGTGCCTGATACTCTGTCTCATACTCACTTTTTTGAGTCTCTAGCTCATCTGTCAAGTGACGGATGGTATTTTTTAAATCTTCTCTGCTATGGGCACTGAAAGTATCATCTAAACTTTGTTCAACTAGTTGCGAAAAGCGGTTTTTTTTCTTAAAGATAGGTTCTGGCTTTTGCTCGATGATTATGTCCCTGGCAATAGCGGCGAAGTTAAGGACATGCTGAGTTTCGTCAAACATATCTCTAGAGGCACTTATATTAACAATCATTGATATATCTTCAGTGCCATTTAATGCTCTTTGAAACAACTGAGTCAGTTTCGATTCCCTGAAAGGTACTAATTTGTTATCATTCTGTTTTTGCATATTTCGCACAGCAGAAATACACCTGCCCAGAACCAAAAGAGAACTGTTTATATTGTTTGATTCCTTAAGTCTATCGCCAATATTGTGGGTCTTCTTAGATCTCTCTGAGCCCGCCAGATCGCAAAAATTAAAACAACTAACGTAACTACCGCCATCGGATTTAGAAACCTGAACTAGTTTAATAGTAAAAATCGAATGCGATCGACTAGAGTGACTGTTCACTTGAGTAGGGGCATAATTTAAGTTATGAATCCCATATTGTAGAATTTGATAAGCTTCCTCGCCGGATGTAACACTAACGTGGGTCAAGCCTTTGATATATGCGTGTCCCTTCGCCATGCCTAGCCGCAGTTTGGGTCTTTGCTGCCCTCTAGGTGGGTCCAACTGTAGTAAATCATACACGTGTTCGTTGTAAATTTCTGCAAATGACACCCACACACCAATCGCAACGTTCTCGTCCACTTCCAGTTCAGCAACAGGTTCGGTGCTCAGTCGCTGCTGCATTGTTCTAAAAAATGGTTGTAGTAGAACAAAGCTACAAGAAACGACGACAAAATAATTACTGGTATATTTTAATATGATGTGTTCTATCCAATGAAGATGAAGACGCGTTCAGTAAACTCCTGCATAATTGTTTTTCGCATTTACAAGCAGCCTCGTTCAACAATGTTACGTCGTCTCCTGTAGGGGAGGGTTTCGCTATTGGTTTCCTCGACAGCTGAGGCAGGGTACGAAACAAATATTCCAACGAGCGTGGCACGATACCAGGGTCTCTGTCGGTGCCTATAACTGTGAAGGTTTTACCTGTATCAGTTAAAAATTAGTTTTCGTTAATGTCTGTTTGAGGGGTTTTACCTGATCCTGAAGCACCGTAGGTCATGAGTGTGGAATTTTGTCCGTTGATAAAATCTAGAATTTTTGGCTTTACGATGTAATTGAAAATCTCCCTTTGGTCAGTTTCTTGAGAAAATATTTTTGTGAAGGAATATTTTCTAATCATGGAATCTCCGTCTTTAGCGTTGCGGAGAAAATTTGAACCTTGGGGGATTTTTGAGACGAGAGTATTGTCCTCGATTTCGTAGAGGCCTTCGAAGTTGTAGCCATTTTTAATTCGAAGATATACGTTAATGGTGCGAGCCTGAAGAAATAAATAAATGAAATGAACTGATGCATATAATATGTTAATTACAGTAAGAATTAAAACTGCATCGAATATTAGGCTTGTTTATATAATAGCCTATATATTTTTTGCAAATTTGACACTTTACTAGTTTAAAGTTATTTTGACAGAACTCTGAATTACAATTACAATCAAGGCAGATTCATAAACCACAGGTGTGGAAATACGTTGTTTTATTAAATTTAAACTGCGTTTCAATATATTTGCTAAAAATTCTGATTTGTTAATTGGAAACAAAAAGTGACAAGTCAGCTGACATTCCGATAGTCTTACCAATATAAAATACAATATTTTATATTTTTTTATGATATTTTGCACAGCTTGTTTTTAGATTTGGCTGAATAATGCAATTATTACTTGTTTTTACTTAAATATACATCATATTCAGCAACTATACAATTCTTTAATCAACAAAATATAGTTCAAAAGTTTGTTTAAAAACTGTCAAAATGCCTTTATGTCCGGTATTTTTTTTTTCTCTTTAAATAACGCATTTAAAATTTGTAAAAATGTTATGTAAAAAAAATTGCTACTAATCTTTAAAGTTTTACTTTATTTTTTAAACCCTAGCCCCAAATAATTTAAAGATATTAGTGGAACTTTCAAATTGATTAGATGTAAACGGATGAGAAAAAAATATCTAGCTATTATAGAAGTAGATCCGAAAACCTTTTCGGAAATAATGAGGCTAAAAACTGCATTCATTCAATGATGCGAATGTGCTATCTATGAGCACATTAGGGTGTACAGATGTTTTAAATGTGGAGGGTACAATCATACGTCTGAAAAATGTACTGAAATTCCACCCAAATGTTTAAACTGTGGAGGAGATGATCACACTGAAACAGATTGCATAAATGACTCAATTTGCGTTAACTGTTTAAAAGTGAACAAAAATCAAAAATTAAATCTCAAAGTTAATCACTCTCGATTTGATTATGATTGTGAAGTGTACAAGCGATTATGCGAAATAAGCAAGAGCAAGACGAGATATTCTATATAGCAATCAAATGATAAAAAGGAAACAGGAGACCTTAAATTGCTGTTTCTAAATGTTCAGTGTCTACGAAATAAAGTCAACATTCTAGATGCAAGTTTGATCGACCATAATTTTAGTGGAGTAAGCGTGTGTGAACATTGGTTCAAGGAAGAGGAGGCTGCAACTATCAAATTGGACAATTATATCACAGTGGACTATTTTGCTAGAGTGCCACATGTTTATGGTGGTATAATTCAATTTCTTAATCCGAATATTGAATATAAAATACTCTCTCATATTAAAAAATTGTCTGTAGAACTGCAATGTGAAATAACAGGTTCGTTTTTACCCAAATTTGATTTATTCTTTATTGTAATCTACAGAACACCTTCCGGGGATATAAATTTGTTTCTAGAGTTAATGACTAAACTACTTAACGCGTTAGATTATAAGACCAAACATATAGTAGTTGGTGGCGACTTTAATGTGCATTTAGAAAAAACTAATGACTTATCTACTCAATTATTGATAGATTTATTTTTTAGTTTTAATATGTATAACTTAGTTAATTTTCCTACACGTGGTAATGCCTGTATTGATCATGTATTTACTAATATAGAATCGCATTCAATTTTCGCAACTCCAACAGAATTTAATATTGCCGATCATCGGGGAGTTGTTGTTGACATACGAAATATTTTAACCAATAATAACACATGTTCTAAAATAATTAAGATATTGAGACCTGTTACAAATATTGGTAAAATTTATTATTTTCAGCATCTTATTAATTTCGACTGCACCTTTATTGATATAGATTTAGATGTACAGCTCAAGTTTAAACAATTTTTATGTATAATAATACATTACTATAATTTATCTTTTCCTTTGAAAAAAATTATAAACAAAGAGTTCTAATGCCCTATGTGACAGATGGTTTAACTCTAAATTAAGAGAAATGAGAGAAACTTTGAGATTTATAACTGACGCTTATCATCTACATAGAACATTAGAACTAAAAATGTTACTTAACCAGTTTAAAAGAAAATATAATTTAGCCATTAGAGAAGCAAAAGTAAAAGCTAACGATAAATTCATTGAAGCTAATAAAGCTAATCCGAGAATCCTATGGAAAGTAATAAATAGCAATCGGTCTATTCAAAGCTCCAATTGTAATAGTAAAACTGCAATAACTTCCAATGAATTTAATAGCTTTTTCTCAACTATAGCTAGCGAAATTAAAAGTAAATTACCAGCTCCAAATTTTGATCCGATTCACATAATGAAAGTAAATAACACAGGTGGCAAAAATATATTTCTATTTACAAATGTTTCACAGATTGATGTAAGAAATGCTATTAATAGTTTAAAAAATAGTCATTCTAAGGATATTTTTGGCATTTCGATTGGAATTTTAAAAGCTGTTAAAGAAACATTCATTCCTCCGCTTACAAAGTTGATAAATTTTTGTATTGATAACAAAACATTTCCTGATTGTTTGAAAATTGCATCCGTATTGCCAGTTTATAAAAAAGGAGATGTTAATGAAAAAAATAACTACAGACCAATTTCGCTACTACCTATACTTTCTAAGGTGTTTGAAAAATTGCTGCTTGGACAAATTTTACATTTTTTAGAAATAAACAATATATTTGTGGCTTTAGAAAAGGATACTCAACAACAACAGCTGTATTAAACTTAATTAATAAAATCATTGATTGTTTCGAACATAAACAAATTTATTTTAGTTATTTTTTAGACTGAAGTAAAGCGTTTGATTGTGTTTCACATGAGATATTAATAAGGAAGTTACTATTTTATAATTTTCATCCAGATAGTACTAGGTTGATATTATCCTATTTGAGCAACAGAACACAGTACGTTAAAATTAGTGACGAATTATCTAATTGTGTTAAATCATCTACGGGGTTCCTCAAGGTTCTATTTTGGGCCCAGTTTTATTTTTAATATACATTAATGATTTACCTGAATATCTAAGAGATGTACATGTTTCGTTGTATGCGAACGAAACTATAATAAGTACTACAGGTAAGTAAGCAAGACATTGATAACAAAAAATTTAGGATTACTTGTTTGGCTGAGGACTGGTTTATTGCGAACCAGTTAACTTTAAATAAGACTAAATCTCAAGAACTAAGATTCACGTTAAAAAAATACCTGCACCTGAACTAGATCTCCCATTTATTAAGCATCTTGGTATATACATCGATTCACAACTTACTTGGAACAAACACAGTGAAGAAGTTGCTTCAAAAATAGCAAAAAATATTTATTTACTACGCCATCTAGCTAACGCTCTGTCACTGCAGTACTTAAAGACAGTGTATTATTCTTTAATACATTGTCAATTAGAATATGGAATTTTTGTGTGGGGACATCCCAGTGTAAATAAACGATTGTTCAAACTACAGCGTAGAGCCATTAGAATAATTTCAAATATTGGATATAGGCAAAACTGTAAAGAGAATTTTGTTACCCTACAAATTCTAACACTTCCGTCATTATATATTTTTAAATGCATTGAACATATTGTCTGCAATATTAAATATTATCCAAAGCTCAATCAGTACCACCAGTATTATACCAGAACGGATAACCTACTATATAAATCTTTAAGACTAACCAAATCACAAGATGGAGTTAACCACTTTTGTATAAAATTCTTCAACAAACTTCCACGCAGTTTTAAACTTTTAGAACATAGACCGCTTTTAAATAAAATCAAGTCATATCTTAAAGCGAAGGCATTTTATTCAACTGAAGAATTTCTGGATCATGATTTTACTGAGGAATAGTAGTTCATAATTTAGTTCCATTGTAGAATAACCATTAGTTTTAAAGTTTACATGTATGTATACATTTAGTTTATTTTGTTTTAGTTGTTGATTTAATTATTATACTTACTAATATAGTTCTTTACTTTTAAGAGCAGCATTGTAATGGACGTGTGCTAAAATGTATCACATTTATTTGCACAATAAACATATTATTATTATTATTATTATTAAATGAGGAACAGGCGAAAATGGTAGAAAGTAAAGGAGTAGAGAACGAAGAAGACGAAATAGAAGAAATTTATAGATAAAAAGCTCAGGGGAAAACAAAACTGATTAAAAATACTATCTACCTACATTTAAAGAAAAATACAAAATTTCTAAGTTAATAGGAAAAATGACTTTTTTAGGTTTGGTGCTTCTCATGAATGATGTATATATCCCTAAATCAATTCCATCAATCGTATCATCAAACATTTTTTTCAGTAATTCACCAGAATGTGTAATTTTTCGGTCAGGTCGCTGGAACATCCTGTATACATATATAACATGAGTTTCTGAATTTACATCAGTGCATTCAAAGGGAACAATTAGGTTATTTAAATTATGTTTACAAATATTTCTGGAGCGGTAGAAGCCACAGAGATTTTAAAAATTACGTTTCTACCAAGTATAGAATAATAATTAGTTGTCATAAGCGCGAAATATCTTTCAGAAGTATTTCATTACAAAAAAAAAAGTCTGGATACTTAGGGTAAAAGCTCAAGGTGAATTCATAGATCACAAGTGCAGGAGTATGTTATTTATAAAATGTAAATATGAGTTACAATGAAAAAAGTGACTTTACTTCGTTTAATTGTTTGTGGGGAATTTTATTTAGGTTTTATAATCTACGCGACATTCTTAAATCACATAAAATTTGACAACACCAAAGTAAAAACAGCAACAAGAAAGAAAACTTATCAAGGTTTTTACGAGGGCTACTAGAAATATTATCTACCTAGCTATGAAAAAAACCATTGACACCGTTGTCGTTAATCTGTCAAATAGTGCCATTTATTCTAACCCTGCACCGAAAATTTGAGGTAATTTGGATTATTCATTTCGGTTTTATAAGTTGTTACAGAAAGAAAAATGAGCAACTTAAAATTAGAGGATCGCGATTCATAATTCAATTTATTTAAAAAAAATTTACCTCATCTTTTTGTGGCTGCTGTTTGGATGTTTCTCCAAATTCGTCAGCTAAATTTGTTTTAACTTCGGATAGTTGAGGTCGATTATATGATAATATGCTCGGATCCCGAGCCTGTAGATACGAACAATTCCTTAACATTAAATTATCACAGTACATTTTGCACAAATTAAGCGAACGTCGTTTTCACTTTGTTATACCTAACGGATCACGCGAACACAAGTTTTAAATTTAAAGAAACGTTAAATGTCAACCTACGGCGCAAACTCGATTACTTGACAACCTGTGTATAACTGGTTGCCTACCAGCAACATTGAATAACTTGAGTAATAAAATTTTAAAACAAGCTAATTTTGCTTTATCTAAAAAACGAAAATGACTTTTACTTGAAATTTTTATCATTTATTTTAAATTCGTGTTATCGGTTTCTACTTAAATGCAAGAGTGAATCTTCAGTGCTGCCTCTGCCGTCGATATGTCGTACTACCCGATCGAAATGCCCACGTCAGACAAAGACGGCTGCGTTCAAGTTAGAAAAAGACAGACGAACTTCTTAAATATGGCGGATTAGACTGTTAGTGGGGTTGATGTAGACCGAATAATTGGCAAAACGTCGGTTCTTAATCAATATTAAAATGTTGAATTACTTACAAACTATTCTTTGACGTTCCGTGCTTGATGTGTTTGAATATTATGTAGGTTCGACGTTTTGTTTTCGAATTCGCCACCCTTCGGTGAGTGAGTGTGTGCATTTATGTGTGTGTTCATACGTCAGAGAGGGATTAAGTGACAATCTGGGAGGGTATGAGTAGACATGGGCGCCCAGAACACCAAGGAAAGAAGTGTTAACGTTGGAACCCATTCTATCAGGACGGCCAGGAGCAGACCCAGGATAGTGAAAGATGGACGGCAGACTGTCTCCAACATTTTCACAGAACACAGCGGTATGAATCATCCGAAAATCTCGTTACTTTTATTATTGTTGTCGTGTGACATGTGTTATCACGACTAATCGTAGTGGGCTTTGTTTGCCGATTGTCATTCGGCAAAATCGCAACGTACTTGATGTGAGGAAAATTGGTGATTTGCTGCGAACTTGACAGAATTGACAGGAGATGATTTGATTTTTTTGAGCGAGGCGTAAAAAACTGTCTACGGGGGTAATTCCGGTGGTTCAAAGGCCGACGGAGCGAGTTCATTCATGTCGATTGTGCATCTCTGTCCTCGATTCTCGGCCGTTTTGTCCCCCGCTGAGTCTCCCCTAGCCCAGCCGTCTCGATTTCTAATAAATAAAGCCGATTCTCTTTCTCTACTTTCTTGGTGCAATTAAGAAAATTACGGCTTGGGGGTCGCGGACGCTGAAAAAATGCACGAAAGTTCATGTAATTGCCAGTGGTCAATTGGTTTCAGTCGAGTGAAAGGTCGTCTAGTTGTCTTTTTTTTTAAGTAAATTCAGAGCTGGTTTCAGCAAACTTTGGATAAATATACACAGCGGATTGTTTTTTTAATGACGTCATGACAGGTTAACAACTTTGGTTTAATCACTTTGGCCCTGATGTCTCCTGTTCGTCTATTTATTTTGATTAGACCTCCATTGTGTTCGTATAAAAGAGACATAAAAGAGAAGATACTGGAAATCATCTTTTGTAACCTCTTTTTAACAACGGCTTGAAAGTTTGACAATGATCATGATAATAAAAAAATTACTTCAAGTGTTTGTTTAAATGCTATTGATATCGGCTATAAAAAGTTATGGGATTTGACGTTTCGGTGACGTTTGAGTCAGCAAAATGACAGGTCGAATCTTGTTACCTATTGAGTAGGGTTTCCGAGAATTTGTCGCAGATTCACCGAACAAGGGACAAAGGGACGGCAGTTCGAGGTATAAATGCTTTTCGTTAAATCGCGAACATACTAGTTGGCTCCGGCGGCTACTTTTGAATCTTAAGCAACAGGTAAATTGGCTCCGGACTAACAGGTAAATTGGCTCCCGCCAGATGCAAGTACTAGTTGGCTCCCATCTCCTGCTGCCTGCATGACGGGTAACGCAGAACTGTGGTTGTTTTCACAAAACCTAATATCTAATGCCAACTGAAAAATTAAATTTCATTTAAAGTTGTTATTTATAATTTTATTCGTTCATCATTGCAACGATAAGTATTTAAGAAAAACAACACATTTATGTTCGAACTATTACCCCTAATAATTTTAACAATTTATTTACTATTGCTTGGTAAATATATATTTTTTTATTTTTGTTAGTATTGTATTTTGCTGCAAAAGATAAGGTAAATATAAACCAAAACAAAATTGCTGAGCTTCTGTCTGTTTAATTTTGAAGTTTCAGTCGCTTCGTGAGTATGTTCACCACTTTGTTCTATTATTCGAAGCATTCGTCTTGATGTACGATTTACAGCCACGTTTTACACACTGCCAACGTATAACACTTTGAGCTAACACTTTATGAAAATTATATTTATAATTATTACCTAATTAACAGAACTGTTTTCCCTTTTTCACTAATCATTTCGTCCAAACAGTCCATTTTGTAACAATTATCTTAAGCGCTTGGGCACAAGAAAGTTTAAGAAAAAACTGATATTTTTCGGCCGGAAATTTTGTATTTGTGTTGAATGGGCATTTTCGACCAGTGCAGATAGTAATAAAAGTATAGAAATATTTACTCTCACCGTAACGATTGTTATCCTCTTACTTCAAAGACCCCGCAAATCTGGGAAATACCAGAAAACCCCTTTGTAACTACCTTACCGCCACCACTTTCTAGACATAGAAATTTGATGACTATGGAATTATATGTTCCTGTAATTCAAACAACACATCTCTTGCGACAGCAGGAAATAACGTATCTGCAGATGATCCCCTCACCGTAGGAGGTACCATAAAATCTACCTTCCTTGCACCATCGGAGCTAATTTACCTATACCCATTTTTCGGCAGAGGGTCAAATACCGTCCGCCGGAGCCAACTAGCATGTACCCGTTAAATCCTCCTATGGATTACCTGTTCCTTTGTTTGCAGATATTTGTTTTTTTTTATTTTGTCATATATATGTATTTGTTCCAAACTTTCAGTATTAAAAATTCAGCAGGTTAGAACATGTTGAAGTGAAACATTTTGTCAAATTAAATCCATTAGTAATAAAAGAAAAAAAAACATGAAAACAGTAAAGCATTGAAGTTCATGTAATAAATGGTAGTATTATTGACCTTCTATGAACTCCATTTTCCTAGTCATTTTCACGATTAACAAAAGGTCATAAATTTTCATGGTACAAAAAACCTAACGTAGGTGCTACTAAAGGTTTAATTTTTTTTCTGTAATATTTTTTTTGAAAATTATTCGCTGCCGACGATATGAAAATAACACATAACTAAAATAAAAAGTGTTAAAAAATCACGTTCTCTAGAAAAAAAAATTCAACAATTAAAATAGTTCGCTGCAGAAATACAAAAAATTTAATGTTTTATGTATTATGCATCACAGCCTTATTGGATCAAAGATTTTGCATTACTGTGTACTACTTTATAATTTCTTAAGTTGATATTAATCCGTTAGACGTTGTGACCAGAGGGCTTTTAATATACTAGATGAAATTTTTCTAATATGCAGAAATAATGTTGCTTATTTTGTGTTTTGCTTTTATTTTCACGACTTTTGAAATTTAAGTTTTGTAATTTCATGTTTTTTCGACGCTTCGTAACCTCAGGAGTATTAAAAAGTTGTTTCCCGTCGCTTGTTTATCGTATGTTGTGGATTTTATTACACAGATATGTAATATCAGAAACTACTGAACTGATTATTGTGAATATATGAATAAATGTATATAACGAAATAAGTAAAATCTAGTTTCACCAGATATATCCAGTTAAAGCAAATTACATGTACTTTAGGAATATGGTGTAGATTCAGATTTAACGAAAATTTGGCTGATCATCCCCACGTACAATTTGGTGGCAAAATTTTGCAAAGTAAAACCTACTTAAATTTTATGAAATAACATAGGTACATCACCTACATCCGGGATTTATGAATCCGTCTTAATTTTTACTTCCCGAGCGTAAGCGAATCCATCGGACGATTGGCCACTTTTATGTTTCCTCGACGTTTCATGACCCCTACAGTACGAAAAAAGTAGTCTCCCGTTTCCGCCTGTCTGTCTGTCTGTCTGTCTGTATCCATTTTTATTAGACACGTAATCTCCGAAACTGCTGGACCGATTGTTGTCAAATTTTGTATGTATATTAGAAATATCATGTCGATGGTTAAAGGCTAACCATCCCCACCAACGATTGGATGATGTCATTTCAATGAACGGTATTCTAAAATGATTTGAATGTTACACAAAAATATACTTATATACTTATAGTGTACGAATCCACTTTGTTTTTTCGCTAAACGTTCAAATTTTCGCAAAAACATTTGCAAGGTATAATAACGTTTTATTCCCGACACGGTGTACATCTCCGTGGTGCAGTGGGTGTATTATCTTCAAGAAATTGATGACGTATAATTGTGTTTAAATGATGAATCAGTTTTAAAATTTATGTACGAGAGATATTATACAAAGTAATTATCGAATGGTTTTTTATGGTAATTTAATGTTTAATGTTAAATCATACATACATTATGAACTGACCCCTGCCAAAAAATTATGACGTCATCGCATAAACTTCTCAATAAATTTATGATTTTTGTTTTTTAAATGTAGTAGATAACTATAGTAGCCTGCATAGATATTGTAGCCGTCCATAGAGTCGAGATTTGCGAATAAAAATAAAATAAAACCGGCTCAAACGGAGCCGACGACGGCTTGCAAGTTCTGTCACTACAGCACGCGTCATATCACACAGGGGTGTATTTAAGGCTAGAGACCCTAGATATACTTTGGAAAGTATATCTAGGGTCTCTATTTAAGGCTGTTTGCACAAAATCTTAGGGTCACTGTAATCTTACTATTTTCTATCTACGACAAACGATTTGTCACACAGCTACGAAACCGATGATCTAGAGAAAGATGGAAGTTTGAAAATTTATTTCAACAAGTGTAATAACCGTTTGGTGCAACACAATTGGTTCAAGCAAAGTAAAATATGACAGGAAACAAAGAGTCCACGTGGACTAGTTTATAGGCGTGTTTGCTGCTAAGATGACTAGGTTTTTCGCTCCACCTGCCTCCGCAACGATGAATATACCATACCACAACTTGTG